CAATTGAGTCTCAGCACCAACTATTGATTAGGCAAGTCCTTGTACTTGTTGATTGATTGGGGGCCCATGAACCATGACTCAAGTAATTCTCGGCTCACCTGATTGCCACCTTTTGCGAGAATTTCACATTTGAGTGTGACCATGTGACGACGAATGAGCCGCAACTTTAGAATTGTCATCATTTCGCCGCACTGCTGCACTTCTTTGATGTCCTCGTCTGTCATAAAGTTTCTGGTGGCCTAAAGACTGAAGTATTCAGGAAAGCGACAAACGTGATGCAAGTACTGAATTATAACAGCAACTACCCAATCAGCAACAAACGCAGCTGCTTAAGGACGCACTATCGGCCTTTTGAGACGCATTGCAGTGAACCAGAAGTTAAAGTTGCTGAAAGACAATACCTTCGACGGGTAATCAGAGAAAATGGCTACATGCGCAACTTCGTCCATCGGTGCCTACGCAAACGAGACGGCCAACAAATACGCACAAACCCCAACATTTGGCGAGCGACACCGTATGTCAAAAACGACTCGGAATTTATCGGCCGCCTTCTCGCACCACTTGGAGTTGGAGTCGCACACCGGAGGCAACTATAAGGTGTCAGATAATGAAACTGATACGCCCACTGCCAGGATCTGGTGCAATTGCGGGTAAAACAACTGTATCGCCAAAACTGGCACGCCTCTCAAGACGTAAATTTCCGAACACGCGACAGCAGTGCGGCGAAATGATGCCAATTCTCAAGGTGCGGCTCATTCGACGAGACCCACCCACACATTTAAATTAGATGAGGCCGAAATTAACGCAAGAGGTGACAATCGGGTGTGCTGAGAATAACTTGAGCCATGGTTCACGGGCCCCCAATCCATCAACAAGTGCAACGATTTGACAATCCATATTTGGTGCTGAGACTCAATTTGGCCAAAGTGAGTCGCCGCTTGGCGAAAGTACAGGCCACCGTCTCATCCTATACTGGTACCGGAGGGCTAGATGACCGAGCAATGTTGGCAGTTAGTACTGTGTTCTATTAATCACGCAAACTCCTGTGCATGTGCTACCCTATCTGCTATTGCACTCATACTATGTCTGTGATGACGACTCCGCGACGGATATGTGAATTCTTCCTCAAACTGTAGGCTGAACTTTACATTTCCTTATACAGGATGCACACAGTACGCAGTTTTTAAACCTTGAATTCGACTGTAGCATTCACTCGTTTAGAAAATTTTTCGGCAATCGGGCAACTTTTTAAAAACCGAAAGCTACCCTTCCTTTGAAAATGAAATTTAAAGAAAGCGTAATTTGCTGTCAAACAAGTACAAAAAATAATTTTCTCGTGCATGCTTTCCATGAAATATATTTGAACTTTTAAAGGCAGTCAAAATCAATGATAAAATTACATATTACATAAGTAGCCAGGTGTTACAATAGATACTTTTTGCTGGTAGTCAGAACAAAGCTCGTTAAAAAGCCGGTTTCCTACCGTGACTGAAAGGACTTCAGAATACACTACACGATAATTAGTATCTCAACTTGAGTCAATGCCGATTAGCGAAAGAGTAGCAGACTTTCGCATATGTCGAATATTGCATGATCTGTGGCGTCTACTGTACGCCAAGGTGACTGGTGCGGTTAAAAATACAATGCAGTGCAATTTTTTGTTAGTGCATTTTGCGCAACAAAAACTTCGCAGGTCAGTTAAACGTAATTTTTAGAATATAAATCTTCTTTCTTTCTGCAAATAAGTGCGATTCCTTCAACTTGGCTTTACTCGTATCTGAATAATTTTGGACAAATTTTCCAGTTCTGAAAGGGATATCTTCTACAGGTATATCAATTACTTTAGAGTTCATCCAAAGTATGATCAACATTAATAAAAAGTTTTGTTCTGTCTTTCATAATATCATAGGAAATTCCTTCGATATGAGACGAATCCGAATTTCGTCAAAGTTAATGCCTATTTCTCTTAATAACTCCAACTAAAATGGTGATTTTCCTAAGTAAAAGGCTTTTGCGGAATTAAATCCATTAACTGAATCTTAAATAATGTGATGATTATAATGCTCTGAGCCCACCCACGACTTAGACACCTACAAGCATTTTTCGTAGATGTGACACACTGATCGTAGTTCTCGACTGAATAGGACTGAAATTTTCAACGCTCCTTAAGTGAAAAAAGCGTTTATCTCTTACGAACGCTGTTTTTCTTTGTTCTGAGCCACGAATCCATGATATTTCATTCCTCCGAAGCTGGCAGTCCTCTAATGACCGTTTTACTGGATTGCGCACGACTCTTAAAGCCAGCCCCCGGCCAAAGGTTACCTGCATACGCCACTTCCTCCTAGAAAAGCTACATGCGAAGTAACCTGCGCAATCGTAAATTTAAGATTGAAGCGTGGAGACATAAATACAGGGTGTCCCAGAAGTAACTGACCCTTTTGGTTTACTAATAAAACGAAAATTATTAACGCTAGGATATTGAAACTTGTTTTATTCGA